AAAAATACATATTATTTTACTGGTTTACATGTGAACCATATAAAACCTAGATTCACCATAAATTTTGCCTTTAAAATAATAATTATGTTAAGTTATATGGCAGTAATTTTATGTTGTCAAATAGGAGTATATCCATATATATGAGTTGCGTTAGACTGATTTTAGATAAGTATGTTACCTAATCTAATAAAAATTTAACGGTTGGGCTGAGTTAGATTTGCCTATTCTATTTTTAAATTTAACACAATCCATCTTGATGATAAACGAGTTTGATTGGGATGGTTCAATTACATTAATATAATTAAGTTTATTATTTTTGCAAAAATTTTAATATTTTATAAAAAGATAAATTATTTGATATTTTATTGTAAATACATTATTATCAATAAATAAAATAAACAATAATATAAAATAAATTTATTAATTTATTAAATTATTATTAACTCAAACAATTAATATTAATATAAAATAAATTATTCTTCTTATTATTATATATAATTAGATCGAATTAAGTCATGAATTAAAAAATATATAATTCATTATCTAACTTATAAAATATTAAATTTTAATTAAATTAAATTAGATTTAATTCAAACACTAAAAAAATTAAATTCAAACTCATTAAATCAATTCAACATGCAACCATTAAATCAAGAAAACCCAAATTTTCATCCAAAACCCTCAAACTCCAAAAATCCATTTTTTACTAACATTCAGCCAAAATCAACCAATACCAACAGATAATGAGTTTCTAGCACTCAATTTTCATCCAAAAACAACGAAAAATCTAGCTTCCCTTACCTCGGTAGAAGAATCCGAGCTTCCAAAAATAGGAGAACGAAAGAGAAGAAGAAGAAGCTTGAAAACGAACGGGGAAGAGTGACAACTTCAGCTAGCCCCACCTAAGCTTGATCAGCACCTTCAAATCCAAGGTCACCACAAGGAAGAATAATCAGCCACAAGGAAAAGGAGAGAGTGAGAGTGAGTTGAGAGAAGAAGTGAGTGAGAAGAAAAAGAGAGGGGGTTTTACGGGACCTCACATGATCAAATAATTTAAATAAATAAAAAAGATGAATTATCATAAAAAAATAAAATTAATACATTAATAAAAAATTTATCATCAGATAAATTTAAACTGTTCAATTTAATAATTTATGTTTTTAATAATACTTTTTTTTTCTTCATTCATGAATCACATGAAAAATACATATTATTTTACTGGTTTACATGTGAACCATATAAAACCTAGATTCACCATAAATTTTGCCTTTAAAATAATAATTATGTTAAGTTATATGGCAGTAATTTTATGTTGTCAAATAGGAGTATATCCATATATATGAGTTGCGTTAGACTGATTTTAGATAAGTATGTTACCTAATCTAATAAAAATTTAACGGTTGGGCTGAGTTAGATTTGCCTATTCTATTTTTAAATTTAACACAATCCATCTTGATGATAAACGAGTTTGATTGGGATGGTTCAATTACATTAATATAATTAAGTTTATTATTTTTGCAAAAATTTTAATATTTTATAAAAAGATAAATTATTTGATATTTTATTGTAAATACATTATTATCAATAAATAAAATAAACAATAATATAAAATAAATTTATTAATTTATTAAATTATTATTAACTCAAACAATTAATATTAATATAAAATAAATTATTCTTCTTATTATTATATATAATTAGATCGAATTAAGTCATGAATTAAAAAATATATAATTCATTATCTAACTTATAAAATATTAAATTTTAATTAAATTAAATTAGATTTAATTCAAACACTAAAAAAATTAAATTCAAACTCATTAAATCAATTTTAAATCACTTTAGATTCTCTAATTATTCCTACTCGCTTATACTGCTTTTATCAAACTCATATTTACTTTTTACGGTCACACCGTCAGTGTGCTGTATTGTCCCATCACTACTAACTTAAAACATTTTTATTTGATAAGATCACCTTTTCTAAAAGCTATAATACTGTTTTATCATATAAGATTTTACATACTAGCATGCAATTAGTTGCTCAAGTTAAAAATCAATATTTGATCATTAATTAAGAAGTATAACCATTCAACCATTACGAAGTATATGAATTCAACCATTTAAATTAACGATCTCTAATGGTGTATTTAGAAAAAAAGATAATTTAGTAACAAATGGAGAAGACGAAGAAGAATTATAAAGAAATTAAAAAATTATATTTGAAAATAAATATTTTAATAAATTTGAGAGAATATTATGATACGATTCTTGTGAATTTTATGGTTGAATTTGTGTGAATACTTAAATTACACAAACCAATGTCTTAATCTAAAATCTATAACTACAAACTTACATATTACTAATCCTATTATTTTACACACAAAAATTTAATTAATTAATACAATATAATTTAACTCGGTAAATTTAGTAAATTAAGTTAACTAAATAGAAATATATGGAGACTAAAATATCTAATTATAAATACATTAGTAAATGAATACTAAAAGAAATATTAGTCACTTAAATAATATTAACTGCAATCATTAAAATACACGTACGTACAAAAGTTCATGTAATTTTTACTAATCTATAATCTATTTTTAAAATAAATCAAAATTTTGACAATATTTTAATTTTTATTTAAACATATTTATTCAACTATATATAAATAATAAAATAATAAAATTGAAAAATTGAAAAACAAAATTCATTTTAAATTATGAATGAAAATTGTTTAAATATGATTTTTGTCCTTATAAATTGTGTATTTTCACTTTTAATCCCTATAAAATTCTTTTTTTTTTTCTGTTTCATCCTCCCTTAACCTTTTAATGTTTCAAAAAGTCTATATTATTCTATAATAATAAAAATGATTTGGTTGTCGAAATACATATTCTATTAATATTATTTAACTTAATCATTGTCACATAATTATATAATATTTTTTATTTTTTCCCAACAAAAATACAAAATAGATGGAATTTAGTTTTTTCTTTCATTATTCTTCACTCTTCATCTATGCAAGCCAAGTTGTCTCCCCCGTTCAATGGCTACCAGCCAAGGTTAGTCTTTGCCTTCAGTGACTCTCAGTATTATGCAAGCCACCTATTTAGACGTTGGAGGTGAGTTTTTTCCTCGTGATTTTTAAACCTATTTGTGGCTATTTGTGGGGATGTGTTCCGAGACAATAATGGTGCTTTCATTCTGGGTTTTTCCCTCGTGATTTTTAATAATGTATTGTTATGTGATCGCAATAGTTTTAATGATCTTGATAAACTCTGAGGAGTTGAAGTTAAACCCTGTCGCCCTTTCCTTCCAAACATACTTGGAAAGGAAAACATGAATAGCTTGTCATTGTCAAAATGCTTTTACAACTTGAAATTGAATTAAGCATTTAAGGAAAGTCTTGAGGGGAAAGAAGGGGTTTCACACTTCATATAAAGGTAAAAAAACATAACTATGCCCTTACAGAAGGAATAGGAGTGTTTGTTGCAGAGGTTTTGTGCTAAACAGCCATGGAGATTGGAGATGTTGGGGTCAGGCTCACCACCGATGGTAATGCTTCTTCTAGCCTGCACTGTACTTGTTATGTTTGCCAGAGTTAGGAGACAATATTGTTAGAGCACCAACGTTTAACTACATACATGGGCCAAGGACAAGCATTTAAGCAAACTCAAAAATTATCTACCTCCCTTTCTGGCATGTGTGGCTGTGAGCAAATTGTTGATTATTGAACTTCAAATCCAACAATGTAATTGGGCAGTTTCCAAGTTATTATTTGATCTTCACCTGACCATAACTCTGGTTTTCACAGATTTTGTATATAATAGAAAGTTAGGCACAAAAAGAGCATGCTAGTTTGCTACTGATTACGAAACTAGCAAATATGATCATCCACAGAATGTAACTCACACTAACTATTTTGTCAGTGACGGTGGTTTCTGCTAAAGTGGCATGAAGATAGCATTCGTGTTGAGGTTAATTCTACATGGGATCCATTAAGTCATTATTTCTGCTAACTGGTAATGACATCTCAGACCACATCCTAAAACAATCTCAAAGAAATTTTCTTTAAGCTAATTATTGCATTATCGGTGAGGCGATTGTTGACCTCAAAATGGATCATCCATGGGTGATGTTTTCACATTAAGCAGTGCCAAGTGTTGATTATTCTCCTTTATATATTTATCCACTTAGTCATATTCATTTCTTGCATTCTTAAGGATATAGTTATCAACCCCACATTAAATGGATAGTGTTAAAGTAGTTCGTAATCTAAACTAACTTTAAATTAACTCAGGATAAATCTTTACTTTTTTTACTTTAATTCTATATACTATGCCCAAGATGCCAAAAACCAGTTATTTTAAATATTGATTCAACAGAATAACTAAAGAGAAAGATGGTTCTTGAGTAAGTTTTATTTTCATGATTCAATTGGTTTAGCTAGTAGTCAAACTAAATGAACTCATAAATACATAATAATAAATTATATAATCAAGACCTAAAGTAATTCTTAAAGTACAAGGTGCCGCTATAGGAAGCCAAGTTGCATCGATAGAAATGGGTCTTGAACTTTGGATGTACATGAAGTTAACAACCCAAACACATTATTACACAGACAATATTCAAGAAATACTTACCTGTTTGCCATCGATTTCAGTTTTGCTGAAAGAAATGTCAACAACATTCTCTAATAGACTTTTTCTATCCACTCTTTACTAGGGAGTAACATTGGGACATCACTAAAAAATGATCTTAACCAAATACAAAAGAATGTGTTGCTGCGTTTTTTCCTTTATTATGGAATGACCTGTATATGCAAACACCTAACCTTACTAATTGCTCTAAAATCTAATTACTCTAGGTTGCAGTTTGTTTCAATTTCACATTATCACTCTGACTTCAAAAAGCTAACACTTTCAATAGCCTCATTTTGCCATCTTACCTTATCCCATCTTGTACATCAGGGTAACTAAGAAACTTTGTATCCATACATCTGTCACAGTACTCAACTATATCATTATCATTAATATTAGATGTAATCTAAACTTGGTCAAACATACAAAAAGTCAATATCACATTCGGAAGATGATCAAGAAAGAACTTATACATAAGAAGAAGACTGTTCGAGTTTAAGCAGAACCAGGGTCAAGAACAGGAAGCCTGCAATGCAAGCTGATTGATTTATCGGTCTGATCAGAACCCGGAAGGAAGAACTGAAATATGAGTGTGAGGCAACTTCCCTGCGGAGCAATCCCATAGAAAGCACAATCTGGTCTGGCTAAGTGACAGTGGAGGCTCTTGGCGAAGTGCTTCACACTCACCTGCACAGATTGGCCATCTCCTCTAGAAATGGACCTTGCTGATCGCGTCTGAGCACTGAGATTCTGATCTTCAGCAGGAGCATCTGTTTTCTCTCCGATCACAGGCAGTCTCCGAAACTCAGCACCCAGGCTGATCAGTGTGGTCGAAACCTGCACTCTGAAATCCCCATGCTTACTTATGAACAAGTTCACAACATCGCCAACCAGCTTCATCCGATCCACCAGGTTTAGCAATTGACTCAAGTCAGGCACCTGCATTGGAAAAGGAAATTAGATTGATTCATCTTCTCTTAGCCTAACTTAATCTTACAAAACCAATTTGTAAGATGAGAATTATACCCCACTTATATATATTATTATGAATTTATTCCTAAATGATGTGAGATCTCCATTACACCCTCCTTAGGTCAAGGATTGGACATCTCAGACATGAAATTTGCAGACTAGACATCATAATAGCGGTGGCCTGATAAGCCGTAACTTATCTAACAAAACTAACACATAAGGTAAAGATTATTTCTAACTTATATACACTAGTATTAGTATGACTTTATTCTTAAAGGATGTGGGATTTTTAACAAATCTCCCTCACTTCGAGTATAACCTTGTGTTGTAGGCAACATGTTTTGTGTACAGAATTACCTGAACGAGTGTTTGAGGAATGTCTTGGGCGACGTGGAGAGCGGTCTGAAGGTCGAGGAGGAGAGCGCGCGACAAGGGTTTGGAGATGGGAATATCCTGAATAACGGCGGACTTGCAGGCGCGGGTCTCGAGGGTGAGGAAGGGCATGGGCTGGGTGGAATTGGGAGGGAGTTTCTTGACGAGCTTGATCTCGAGGCGGGCGGAGGAGTGGGAGGCGACGGCGACGGCGCTGCGGAGGGCGCGGAGGAGGAGGGAGAGGTCGAGGGCGAAGGCGATGCGGTCATCGTTCTGGCTGCTGATGCGGTACTCGTGGAAGAGGGACTCCTTCCGGAACTGCGCTATGGACTGGATGCCGTCGCCGTTGAGGAGGTTGTGGAGGAACATGGCGTGGTCCCGTGTCAGACACAGGTGGCACGCTTTCCCCATCTTCTCCAGCGCCGGGAGGAACCTCTTCTCCAGGAGCTTCACGCCGTTCGAGGTTACGAATGCCTTGAATTTCATGCTCCACTACTTTGATTTTCCTCCCACTTCACCACTTCACCGTTTTGGTGGGAAATGGAACACACAATAGGTAATTCGGAAAGTTCTTCTTTTTTTTTTTTTTACAAACCTCGTCCCTGCACCTTTTAATATTACTAACTGCTCCTCCTAAAAACTTAGATACAATAAGTATACTCTTTTCACTCTATTCATTTATATTACAATATAATTAAATTTTAAAATTTTAAAAACATCGGTTTAGAATTCAATTTTGGGAAACCCAAATCCAAAACTCTATATAAAAGATACACATCAAAATTCATGTGTGCTGTATATATATAAATGATACACATCAAAATTGTTTGATAGAAGAGAAATAAGATTGAAAATTTTTAGAAGTATGAATAAATGAAATTTAACAAACAATATCTATTTTTTTTAATTCTTATTTTTAGCTTTAACTTAAAAAAATATTTTTAAGTGAAAAAAAATGAGAGAAGTTGAATAAGCATACCCTTAATAGATCAAAAGGTAAATAATATTCACACAATCCGTTATTAATAAATATGCTTTTTTTAATAAATTATTTAATCATCTTTCTATTTTGCTTTTTAACATAATTTTTATAAAAAAAACATTATTTTCTAGTCATTCATTTTCTTTCTTCCGAACTCACTCTCTATGTGAAGAAAACAAAACTCAAGAAGAAAAATATTATTGATGTATTCAAACAGATATAAGATATGAGTATATAAAGCTAATAATAAAGTTTGTTATAACAGAAAATGTCAACTAATCTTGATCTTGACTAATATCCTTTATAGTCCCCCTTCAAATTAAACTTGTCTGTGAAAACAACATTGGGTTTTAAGAGGAGACTTTGTTAGAAGGTCAACCACTTGAAATTGTGAAGGTATATGTTTGATTTCAATGAGACCTTGAGCTAATCTTTCTCTTACAAATCACAAGTCAAGTTCAAAATATTTTGACTTGGAATGAAGCACTAGATTTGTAGTAAGGAGGACAACACCCAAGATGTCACACCAAATTAATGGTGGTTTGGTGTGTTTTGCATGCAATTCTGTTAATAAAGACTGAATCCATGTAATTTCAGCTACTATGGCAACCAAGCTCCTAAATTCTGCTTTTGTACTTGATCTTGAAACTCTGTGTTGCTTCTTAGCCATCCAAGATACTAGATTTTTTCCCAAATACACACAGTATCCTGTTGTAGATCTCATGTCTGTCCTATCAACTACCCAATCAGAATCTCCAAACCTAGTTATTGTCAGACTGGGTGATTTATGGAAGTTAATCCTTGGTCTTTTGTGCCGCTCAAGTATCGTAGAAATCTTTTTACACATCTCCAATGAATTCCAAGGGTTTGTGCATGAATTGACACAATTTTTTTACAGAGTAAGCTATGTCGGGTCGTGTCATAATGGCATATTGAAGAGCTCTAAGAACACTTCTGTATAGACCGGGATTGTTAAAGTTTTCTATTGAATCTATTGGCATTTTGCAGTTAAGAGGAAAAGGTGTCTTTACTGGTTTTGAATCCTGCATATTAAGTCTAGTCAGCAAATTATTTATATATGTTGATTGAGTTAGAAGCATACTTCCCTATGTGTCATAGTCAACTTGTAATCCTAGAAAATAATGTAACTTTCCCAAATCTTTTAATGGGAACAGAGTATTCAATCTGTTAATGAGATTCTATATTAATGCTTGAGAGCTCCCTGTAATCAAAATGTCATCCACATATACTAATATATATATATATATATATTTTTAAGTCAAACGAGGCAATTCCCAGCAAGGTTTTGAATATGACAAATATAATACATATTGTTATTACTAATCTGTGTAGTAGTGTTTTAGATATGTATAAGAACAGACAAAACAAGCCAAATAATAGAAGGATCATGGCTTGCGTATCAGAAGATGATGAATACTAAACGAAGATACGTCAAGAACAATCTAGAGCGCAATATAAGAAATCAGAGACAAGAGCAAAGCAGGACCAAGACAAAGTTGGCTCAAGCACCAAATAAACATCAGACAAAGCTCAAGGGTCAACCATATATATTTAAGTCAACAAAACAATCACCAGTCGTTGGATAACACAAGACGAAGAAACATTCCAGACGAAATAAGAGTTATTCACCCTCAAGGCTGATCAGACGAGATGAAAAAGTCAAAGTCTAACTCTTAGACAGAGACTCAATTTTCCAGACGCAAACGAAGTATGATGAAAAGTGTCTAGAGTCCACTAGTCACAACGAAGAAGATCATACATCATCTCCATTCATAAGAAAAGCGCACTGAGTTATCAAAGATACGAAAAGAAAGAAGAAATTTGCAAGAGCGGAAATTCACAAGTCAAAGCTACGTGTGTCCTACTTTTCAGAGAAAGGCAACGCCTCCGTAGCTACAATGACCAAAAAAAGGACAAACATACCTAGGTCATGATTGAAATCAGAAATAAAAGGAGACAAATTATGCAAAGGACTTCACGTAACACAGATTAAGCAAGCAAAACATTTAATGCAAAATCAAATGCATTAAATGAAAAAGATATGTGTAGCCATGAACGAACGTTTTATCTGCACTAACAGAAAGCTCTGCCTCAACGGACACATTCAAATTCAAATAATGGGCAGATCTATCACAAGGCTATAAATGTGACACCCTTACTACCCCAAAACCAGAACGGCCCGTTCTCCCACTAGAACGGCCCATTCTCCAAACCAGAACGACTCGTTCTCCCTCCATAACGGCCCGTTCTGCTTCTCCAATTTTGGGCATTTTTCTTATTCCGGAACGGCCCGTTTCACTTTTGAAACGGCCCGTTCCAGGCAATCAATTGGGCCTCTGGCCCAGCAATTTTGGGTTGTTACAATACTCTCCTCCTTTATGAAATTTCGTCCCCGAAATTTTTGCAATGGTAGACTCTTCGCTTCTTACTTTCTAATTCTTATGCAACCTCACTACCTTATTGATGTACAACTCTATCAATTTCACCAAAAGATATATAAGGGCAAAACAAGTAAACTTGGCGAGCCTATCCACTAAAACACAAATAGAATCAACCTCTTAAGCGTCTCAGACAAACCTATAATTAAGGCCTATCCACTCATCATCTTACTTCCAAAATGGGACGTCTAAGTGCTACAAAATTCCTAAAGACTTCTAACATACTAAACACGAGTATACAATTTCTCTACTCCTCTCTTCACCTTAGGCCACCATGCTTCCGCTGCAACACTCTGATACATCCTCCTAAGGTCCCGATACATCTCATTAGCTCCTAAATATATGTTAAGAGTACTGTTATGGCCTTCCTCTAAAATCATCTTTCTTAATTCAAGGTTACTACGCACCCAAGTTTGTTTTTGCACCTCAAAACAATGTCGATTTCTACTAAAAAATGTTTATCTATACTTCTACCAATCTTCTCCACTTGG